CCGCGAAGCGGGCGCGGTCGCTGTGAGGTGGAGGCAGGCGGGGCGCTTGCTGATCCCCGGCCGTCGTCCCGCACGCGGTCTCATTATTTTGTACCATCCCCAGTTGCTTCAGGTAGATTAGATAGCTTTCCGTGATTTGGTCTCGCGAGGCGTCGCCTCATCTCCCTGTGCCGCTTGTTGAGGGCGCGTGTTGCGAGTGCTCGCCGCTCGACCTCCCCTGCCCCTTTCCCTTTCACGCGTGATGTTGTCAGGTATACAGACGCTGCTTGCGCCATTCACGCGCCTGCCGGCTGCACTTGCGCTCGTGCTTGAGCGCCGCCGCCCGTATTTTGGCTTGCGCCCAGCTGCTTGCGCGCCGCTGCGTCGGTGGCTGCGCCTTTGATCTAGGAAGAAACTAACCAGTTATGTCCAGGCATTGTGTTCGCGCACACGTATGCATATACACGAAAAATATGCACTGCTGCGGCGTTTGGTGCCCGGCTATTCGGCTCGCTCCGCCCCAGCGGCGCGACAATGGTCAACCCGTCCCGCCTGCCCATCCGCCGCCGTCCATTCACTCGCTTCACAAGCGATGCTGACCACATACAATGGTGCATTTGAGTAACTGCAGCCAGCAGCCCACCGTCTGGTCAACAGGTCCACAGGCGTCAGCCACTCATCCGCAGGCTGTCCTGTCTCAGGGGCGGCACGAGCACAGGCTGCAGCTACGAGGCACTGCTGCGGAACCACGCGGGTGTTAGAGGTTGTGCGTGAAGGGATTGATCATGTCCCGTGCCTACTCCGCGCTGGGTCAGGGCAGCATTTTCTTCAGGGGCGCTGAGCTCGATGATCTGAGCGCGATCTATGCGTTAGAGGTGCGGGGTCATTGATAAAACGCCTAGCAATGGCCGTAGGGTCAGCGAAGGCCATCGTGTGTCCGCAGCTTGTCCGCTCCTGCCGCCGCAAGCCCGCCGACGACTGACACTTTGTTACTGCTGCACCTGGCTGATGCAGCACCGCACATGGCAGATCTTAGAAATTGTTGGCATGTGTAAAACCAGGGGCTGCCTAGCAAACGCAGCTGTTGACTTGGTGCGGCTGTTGTACAGGCGGCGTCATACCCAGAGGATGAGGCGGCCACGCGGGACAAGCTACACTACCGCATCTCACACGGTGGGCGCTAATTTGCATCATTCAAACACTCCAGATGCCAGATCGAGGCCGAGTTTCGCTGCGCTTTGTGGCAGCTTGCTGAGGGCCTGCACCCCTCTACCCCTAAGAGGCAAGCCCCATCCACCCAACGATCCCGCCTCCTGCTCCCTCCCAGCCCCGGAGGCCTTTCTGGTGGCAGTGTCCAGCAGCGGGGGCGGCAGCGGCGAAGGCGGCGCAGCAAGCGCAGCGCAGGAGGATGAAATCATAGGGTGGGTCAGGGGGCTGACGGGGTCGCGAGGGTGGGTTGAGTCCGCCATAGCTCAGCGCCATCGCCGTCCCCTGCGCCCCCAGCACCGTTCGCCTGATGCTTCACGGCTGGCACCCTCGAATGCGGGCAGCACAACCACCGCCTCCCCCTCTGCTGTGCACAGGTATGTCTGTGGCACGTGCTCCAGCGCCGCAACCCTCACGCATGAGTCCATGAGCCGCCACGAGCCCGAAGGGCGCCTGCTGTGCATCCACTCAGTGTGCGTCGCGGAGGCGCGGAGGCGCAAGGGCGTCGCCACCAGGTGTGCAGGCATCCTGCCGCCATGCATGCAGAGCGGGGTGGCTGCTGTCTAGACCGACATCCTCGCCACGTGGGGCGCAGCTGGGGGACTGAGAGCGGAGTTGCGTGTGCTGGCTGCGGCGGCTCCGCACGCACCCATCGAATCGTCTACAGGCTAGTGGCCTGTTCCTTGAGCGCCATTACCCAAAGCAGTTTGGTCCTTACTATTTTTTGCCTCAACCCACCCACCCTTAGGCTGCTGCGCACTTATCTGTCCTACGTGGCGGCCTCGTTGCCCCAGCTGGAGGAGGTCAGGCTGCTCTGCAAGCAGCAAATGGTGAGGCCCTCACTGCGGCCCAATTGCCAGAACAAATCAGCCCAAGGGAACGACCGCCCCAAGCGGCGCCGCCCTTGGCTAGACTCGGCAGCCCGTGGTGCGCGACCATGCATTCGCTGCTGCACGCATGTGGAAGGTCGATCTGCACAGCCACCTCGGCCTCGGGTCATCAGGTCCCCCAATCACCCCGCCCGCTGCCCCCCGGCGCACTTGCGCTGCGCCGCGCCAGGTGCCCCTGTACGGGGGCGTCGGGTTTGTCCTGCTGGGGCCCTCGCCGGTGGTGCACGGCCAGGAGCAGTGGCTGGAGATGGCCTACAGCTGGGAGCCGCCCGGCGCAGAGGACGCAGCTTGAGCAGTGCTTACTGTGGTTTGGCAGGCGTGTGCTTGGTGCGCCGTGTGATCGGCCGACCGATTGACTTTCAATTTTTTTGGAGCGGCCGCTGCATTTTCTGTGCCGGCTGCTAGTTCCAAGCCTTTTTGCAAAGGGGGGGGTTACATGAATTCCCCCTGGCAGTTGTAACGGATGGCAAGGTGGACACGCTACAACTTAAAAATGTGTGTCCTGTTGCCTGTCACGCGGCCTGCCGCCGGCCCCAGCCATGGGTGTCTGCCGCCATACTGGCCTCGTTTGACTGTCGACGCCCCCAGGCCACAGCGTTCTCGCCATCGCTCTCGGAGCCGTCTGATGCCGCCCCCTCGTCGCCTTCCAGAAACTCGCCCCATCTTGACACCTGCGCCGCTGCCGCATGTGCCCCGCCCGCGGGTGCACGCCCACCCATCACTTGCTGCGCAGCGCCACCTTGCTGCTGGCGTAACAAACCTGGTGCCGGTCGCTGAGACGGCACGCTCCAGCTGGCCTGCTGCTGCTGTATATGATGCTTCTCCTGCTGCTGCTGCTGCTGTTGCTGCTGCTGCTGCTGCTGCTGCTGCCAAACATGTGGCTGAGCGCCACGTATCAGCGGCCCCAGGGGTAGCTGCGGCTGGTGGTGGTGGTGGTGCTGCTGCTGAGGGTTGACAGGTCTCGCAACCGTCGGCGCAAGCCACTTCCCTGCAGCGACGGCTGAGCTGCGGGGTGCAGCCGTTGCGCAGCCGCCAGGTCCGTCGGATGCCTGGGGGCGTGAGTTTGCCCAGCCGTCTGCCACCTTGACGCGCTTGTTCTGGCCCCTGACCCCACAATCACCTTCGCCGCCGCCGCCGCCGCCGCTCACTGCGTTGCCCCCTCGCCGCCTGCCACGTCCCTTGCCGCCCCGCGAGTGCCCATCCCCTGGCAGTGCCGTCACAAACCCTCCCCCGCCGCCGTCATGTTCGCTGTCCACGTCATCCTCCTCACACATGCCCTCAGCAAACCCCTCCCAGCAGGGCCGCGCGTTGCCCGGCCCGCTGCTGCCAGCCGCCCGCTGAGTCCCAGACTGCAGCCCGACTGTTTCGGCCTGCTGCGCCGCCTGCTGCTCCGCGCGCTGCGGCTCTTTCTGGTTGAGCCCTGCTGCCTCCTCGGCTTCCCCCTGGGAGGTATTGAGCTGCTGCACCACGAGACGCACATCCTTCGCCGCGTCGCCCACAGCAAACACTTGCAGCACCGACTGCTTGGCGCCGCAGGTGGGGCAACCCCACTTGCCACTCTTCTTCTGCAGCTGGACGCAGAAGCGCGAGCACGCATGGCATCTGACAGCGCAGAACGTCTGCTTGCCCATGGCACGGCGTGGTACTGCCTGCTTGTGCTGCACGAGTGGCGAAATTTGTGCGCCACCATGGCCAACACGCACGATGCGGTTGAGTGAGTTGGAGCGTCAGTGGGTTGAATGGCGGATGGTTGATATGTTTTTAATCATATTCCTTGCAGAAGGGAGCCGCAGCTATGGCAGCAGCACAGCTGATCTACAGGCCCCCAGCCCCAGGGGCGTGCGCCTGCAACCAGCAGCTCGAGCACCGGAGCAAGCACCAACGGTAGTATCGCGGGCAAGCTACAACGTACCTCGCACACGATTTTAATTGCTCGCAAGGGTTTAGTTCTGGTCTAGGGCGACGAAAGCAGGCAGAAGCTGACTGCAGATCTGTCGATTTGAAAACGCACTGAACACTCGAAGGGACTTTAAACACAGAGCGAAACAATAACTTCGCTTTTTGGGAGCTGAATGACCTCTCTGTGCATTCTCTTCAGTCACGCTCTCATTCTCTTCAGTCATGCACATGAGCACAGGCTCACACCCGAGCTTGCCCTGTCACTCGCCGCAACCGTAGCGCGGCAGAAGCGGATTGGGGATGTTTGGAGGTCCCTGAGATACATTAAGCTATGTCCCATGCATGCGCCGCTGCTGCTCACTCGCGTGGCGCATTGCCTGTCCGTGCTGGTTCAACAAAAGCGGGGTGGGTCGGTGCCGCGAAATCATAGTTGTGTGCAGTTGCCCATGCGCAAGGGCAGTGCTGCCACAGGTGTGCTTCTGTGCTCCAGTAATGCATCTTCAGTCTCTTACACCACACCAGGGGTGCCCAGTTACAGCGCAACTCAGATGGAGCACATGGGCTTTATTCTGTGACCCGGGTGCCCATGTAACTCGCTGTACGCAGCCGCTGTCAGAGGACCCTACGCCGCCGAAGGTACAGTAGGGAGACTTCGAGTAGTCGCGTCCACGTATCAATTCGCCTCTGATGGACATGTCACCACTCAGCGTTAGTGCGTACACCGTGTACGCCGCATGTTGACCACACTGCGTGTTGACCACAGCGCATGCGGCGGCCCTTTCCACTCATCACCATATGTGCGGGACCCATACAGGTCCAGGCCTCTCCATATTCTGCCATGCCAGGGCCCCGTTGCAAGCCCAAACCCATGCCATCTTCAAGTTCACTGTCAGTCACCTTCACGCCTAGCTAACTCACTAGACAGTGTCACACGGTCAGGAATGACCAAAGATGACTGGGGCGTAAGAGCGAGAAATGGCAGGTGACGAAAGGCGATGTAAACCGGACAGACATATGGAAATTGGAATTGACAGGTGTTGACCAGCGCGCCCGACACCACGGAGCGCGCTGTCCAAGGAGGTGCAAGGCTGCCACCCATTGTTTCGCGACGTTTCTTTTCATGGCGGCATCCTGTGTATGTACGCCTGTACAAAAGTTGATGAATTGACAGCACGTTGACAGCATGTCGACGGTACAGATCACCAGCGGGCCAGGGATACCGATAGTGCTTATAAGCAGTGCAACATCAGAATGTATGGTGCAGCAGGGCGGAGCGAGGGCCGTGCCACGCAGATCACGGCCTGCTCCGATGCATTATCCACCTTTTGCGAGCGCCACAGCAGGTAATGCACTTATTGAAAAGCCTAGAAATTATGTTGACGCAAGGGCCGCGCCCATGTTTGGGGCCAACACTTGCATTTGCAATCCGCCCAGTGCCCGGCTTGCCTCCGCCGCCGCCGCGCTCATCATCATCACTGCCGCCGCGCTGCACCTCCCACAACCTCCCGGCTGGCGAACTGCCGCCGCAGGCGCGGCCGCATCTGATGTGGTGCGCGGCGTGGCGCATGATGTATTCAAGAAAGGCGACAGCCTCGCGGGCGGCCGCTACCGCCTGGACTCGAAAATCGCCGACGGCCGCTTTGCTAGCATCTGGCTCGGGAGCGACTCAGCGCGGAGCGGTGCGCCCGTTGTCCTGAAGGTGCGGCAGCCTGGGCTGGCCCCACAGGATTGGTTGCGAGCAGCACGAGCGCGCCCCGCGGGGACGCTTCTGCCGAGGCGGCATCGGCGCGCACGCATCGGGGGACGGTTGTCACACTCAACAGGCACTGGCCGCCCTGAGGGCTGGTGCCCTCTTCCCCCCGACTTAGCCAAGCAGCTCTTTGCGTTGTCCCCTTCACTGCATCTGCATCGTCGATGACCCCTCCGCAGCTGCTGGAGTCTGGGGATGCGCCCACCTACAGCGCGGGCGCCAGGGAGGCGGCCGCGCACACCGCCGCCGGGCGCCACCCCAACATCGCGCGGCTGCTGGCCACGTTTGAGCACCGCTCGAAGGGCGGCCGCCACGCGTGCATGGTGCGGCCGCGGATGCTGCGGGGAACCTTCTCAGGATACGCATCTGTGGCTGCTGAACTTATAGGATCCGGCTGCCGCCTGTGTCGGCTTGCACACCGGCTCATGCGCCAGCCGGGTACAATCTCAGACGCCAGCTGCTGCACCAGCACGCATGTGGCCGCTGACGCACCACCCGTTTTGCATGTCATCAGCTCTGCGCAAAGCTTGCTTCTCACCAGCAGCTGAGACGTCTCCTCAAGAGCGCACCCCCCCCCCTCTCGACCCCCACCCACTCCCTGAGCTTGCGCCCTCTGTCCTGCTCCCATAGCAGAGACTCCCCGCACCCATCAACAGCCAACCACCCGCCGTACCACTCTAACGCGTCCACTGTCGCCAGGTCATGGAGCCGCTGGGGTCGAGCCTGGAGGAAGCTGCAGCCCTCTGCGGCGGCGGCCTGGGGATGGGCCTACCGCTGGGCGCGGTGCGGGGCGCGGCGCGGCAGGCCCTGGCGGCGCTCGACCACCTGCACAGGTGGTTGCTTGGCACGCGGCGGGGGCGCCCCGGCGTCATCCAAGGGAACCCGGGCCGTGGTTTTGCAACGGTTTGGGCATGACACACTGGCACTATGCACGTGCGCCAGCCTCAAGGATCGTGGGTGTGCCCTAGCCGGCCGAGCGCGGGCACCTCAAGGCCCCCCCTGGTAACAGGCGCTCCGCTGGACAAAGGGCCCCGACGCTCACTGTCCCTTGAGCCCCTTTTTGGGACCTTGTCTCACTGCATCCCCCTCACAAACGCCTCACGTGCCGCCTGTGGCCCTCCGCGCTCGCTCACCTCAAACACCCCGCCCCAGGCAGCAGCGCTACGCCCACATGGCCGTCACCCCCTCCAACCTGCTGCTGGACAAGCCCTTCCGCTCCCTCGCGCCGCCGCCACCCTCAAACCCCCTCGAGGCGCTGTGGCGCTCGTTCCAGGCCGCGTGGGGCCAGGTCTCAAACGCGGCGGCAAACCCCGACCCGGGCGTCACGGCCGCCGCCGCGGCCGCCGCGGCCGCCGCGTCGACGTCCGGCAGCGGCGGCAACGGCGGCGACTCGTATTCGGAGGCGAGTCTGTCGAGGGCTGCGGTGAAGCTGTGTGATTTCGGCAGGGCGCTGCCGTTGGATCGGCTGGGGGAGCCGCAGGGCAGGGAGCCCCTCATGATATTCGCCAGCCCAGGCTACCGGCCACCAGAGGTGGGCCGGCCACCGGCCTGCCTGAGGGGGGCAGCGGTCAAGGGCATGGGTGTATGAAGGGGGTGCGTGCGTGGGCTTGCGCGAACGCGTGCATGACACGTCATCCGGCGCGCACATGCAAAATGCCGTGCTGTCGCGCTCGCACAAGCCCTCCGCTGCGCCCGCCCGACACGCCATGCGCACGCCCTCCCTAACGCCCGGCATCCCAGCACGACCCCACACCACCATTCCGGCCATTTTCTGGTGCTTAGTCACGGGCATGAACCCCCCACACACACATTTCCCCAGGAGGTGCTGGGGCTGGAGTACCGCGGCCCCTCCTATGACATGTGGAACCTCGGCTGCACCCTCTTCTCGCTGGCGACGGGGTCGGACCTCTTCCACCCTGAGCGCGGCCCAAGCGGCGCCGACCAGGGGGAGGGGCAGGGACCTGGCAGTGGCAGGGATGGCGGCAGCGGCGGCGGCGGGCCGGCGGGCGGCGGCGGGCGGCGGTTTTGGGCTGAGTTTGACGGCAACGACGCCCACCTGGCGCAGATGGTCGCGACGCTGGGGCGCATCCCGCGGGAGGTGCGCTGGGGAAGTTGTCTGGCATGAAAGATGCATTTTCAGTGCATCTTCTTGCTGTCAGTGATTTAGAAGCGGTCTGTTTGGGCTGGGGCGCAGGGCACCAGTGCAGACCGCCGCGGCGACATGCTGTTTCAGGGTCCTCTGTCATATCCCAAAAGCTTTTTACAAACGCTTTCAGGCACCTATCACACTCCTCCACACCCCTTACCGAACATGCACACCCGCTCCCCTCCCGCGGCCCGCGGCTTGCCGCCTGCGCGCTCCCTGCGGCAGATGGTCAAGGCCTCCCCGCTGCGGCGGGTGTACTTCCTGCCCAGCGGGCGGCTGAGGGTGGAGGCGCGCTACGACATCGAGCGCTGCCCCCTGGCGCAGCTGCTGGCCGAGGGCCACGGCCTGGAGGAGGACGAGGTGGGGGCCGGGGCACGCAGTGGAGGGCGGCCGGGGTGGCGCATGCCCGGACAGCATGGGGACAGCATGGGGGGCAGCCGCATGGGGGCTGCATGATAAGAGCATGCTGCTGTTGCATGGGATGTTTTGACCTCTGTTCGGTGGTGGCATGGGTTGGTTGCATGCGGCCGCACGCAAGCTGCATGATGGTGCATGAGTTGTGCATGGGGTGCAATTCCAGGGGCAGGGATTCGCCGAGGATCGATTGGCTGGGCGCTCCCAAAAGGGCGCCAGAAGGCAGGCGCCAGCAGGCCGCAGGCAGCAGGAGCGCACCGACGCCTACCTGGGGCTGCGCCCCCGTCTCACTTCAGCTGTCGCCGCCCCGACCTTTCCACGCCCGCTCGACTGCCAGGCGGCGGGTTTTGCAGGTTTTTTGGCGCCGCTGCTGGAGGTCGCGCCAGAGCGGCGGCCGAGCGCTGCAGACATGCTGAGACACAAGTGGCTGCAGGAAGCTAAGGAGGACGGCGGCGGCGACGGCGGTGGCAAGGAGCGCATGGCAGCAGCCGGCGCGGCCGAGCCAGAGCGGGACGGCGCAGCCCAGGGTGATGGCAAGGGGACACGGCGGCGGGGCTGGTGGTGGGGCCGGAGATAGCACATATGCTGGCGTTGAGCTGTGACGGGCGGCAGCGCCGGTTGGGAGGCATCTGAAACCGCACAGCTCAGCACCTGCACTAGCTGCAATTACTTCTGTTGTCATGTCAGCCCCTTGGTTGCAAGTTCATTTCATGCTGCTCTTCGTAGGGTTCGCCCTTGATTGCGCTTGATGAGTCAACGTTGAGGTAGGTGATAAGTGCGTGTACACGTGCGTCGTGACTACAAGCACTGCACTGTAAACGTGCAAACAGCCAAGCCCAGTAGTCAGTGCGCAACAACAACAGCAGCAACGTCACAAACAGCAATGGAGATTTGAGCTACCCTCAGATCCCATTCAAGCTTGTATGCAAGGAATGCAGGCAGGTGATGCGATTTTTATGCTGACTGGGGCCCGCGATGCAGCCGGTGCCCGCCTATCCTGCCTTCCCGCCACGCGCAGCTTCTGTCGCCGCGGCTGCGCTGCTGCTGCTACTGCTGGTGCTGCTGGTGCTGGTGCTGGTGCTGCTGCTGCGGCCTGGCGCCGCCCCACCCGCCGCCGCACCCTTGTGCTCGCTGCTACCTCTAGGCGCAGCCGCAGCCGCTGGGGCTGCGGTTGCCCGGGCCGGCGCCGCTTCGGGTGCGCCCGGCGCCGCGGCCGCCTCCTCTGCCTCCGCCTCCCTGGGGACCCCCAGCCCCCAGTGCTTGCGAGCGTACGCGCGGGCGCCTCCCCAGGCGCACCGCAGCCGCTGCCAGGCGGTCCGCTGGTGGGGGTCGTCGCTGGCTGCGCCCTCCCGTGGCGCCGCGGACCAGTCCCCTATGGCGGCGTCCAGGTCGTCCTCCACCTGAGAGTAGGGGGTTGGTATTGTGTGTGTGTGTGTGTGTGTGTGTGTGTGTGTGTGTGCGCGCGCGTGCAAGCGTGCGCGTGGACGTGGGCGTGTTGCGTGTGTGTGCATGTGAGTATGCGTGTGCGTATGCATGTGTGCTTTTGGTGCATGTCTGTTGGTGTGTGCACGAATTAGCGTTTGTGTGTGTGCAAGGCCGTGTATGTGTGCGCGCATGCGTGTGTGGGTCGGTGGGTGTCCATGCGTGTGAGTGTGTGTGTCCATGTGTGTGTGTGTGTGCGTGCGCGTGTGCGTGTGCGCACGCACACTCGTGCGAGAAGAGCTGGCAGCAAGGGTCAGGGCGCTGGTGGGGCATGAATCGTCAAAGAACGACGCGCGTATGCTTGATACCAATCACACAATGGGGGGTAGGCAATGCGCAGGGCGCGGGCAGGAGCGCTTTCCCAAGCCCCGCCGCAGAGGAGGGCCCTTGGCAGCAGCCCACCTGGTGGCGCGCGTCGAGCCGCGCTGCGCGCGCCAGCGGAGCCGCGAGCTCCAGCAGCGCACTGCCGTCCACCAGCGCCGCCGCGTCGCCCGCCAAGTACACCCGCGCCACGCCGCCCCCC